AAAAGGACAAAACACTACCATTTATTGAGCAACCCGTGTGGGAGGCTAACCACTTCCCAATTTTTTTTAAAACTTTATTTTTTTTAAAAAGATTTATTTATTTATGCACACAAGAACTGAGGTACGGTTCAGTCACCTGTCCTATCAGAGATGTCATGGGAACAAGTCTTTGGCCTACGATTGTCCCCCCGAGGCAGGGTTGACATGACTCAGTGCCTAGATCCCCCATATTCAGTAGCCACAACTGCAGCTGGTCCTGCCCACTCAGCCTGCCTCCCCAAGGGCAGGCACAGACCCTCTGGCTCTTCCTCTAACCTCCTGCCATCTTCACCTCATTTTAATATATAGTTGCTACTCCTGGGTTCTTCCTGCTTCACCCATCATCCTCACCCTCCACTGTTTTCACCATTGACCCAACTGGTAGCCAACATGGCCAAGATCCATGAGACCTGGGCACTGCCTAGGAGAGGATGCAAAAAAAGAGTCTGATCAATATGACTGTTAGGGGGAAAAGATGTCCTGAGCTAATGGCATACAGGCTTTGTGGACTCCACCCCCACTCCAGACCAAAGCCATCAAGACATTGGGAAAGACAAATCCCATCACCCCCAAAGGGAAGGTGGCTGGGACCTGAGGGTGGAGTTAAGCAGCCAGGTTTGGTATAAAACCAGACACATGGGCTTGGGGGTCTCCCTCTTCTTGGCTTCACGGCTCGTGGCTCACTGCCAGCTCTCAGAGTGCCATTTGGGATTCCAGATCGGCGGATCAGGTGGGACACATTCAAGACTTTATCTCCCACTTTTCTCCCTGAGTTGTACATTTCATTTCCCCTTCCCTTGTAAATAAACCTTTTATTAACCTTTTGTGTGTGCCTGCAGTGGAGTATTAAGTCCCTTTTAAGCACGCAGGTGAGGACCCACAGTCAGGCAACCCATTTTATATCAGGGCTGCCCTGTAATATTACTACTGCTGATAATAATGATAAACTTCCCCTGGATGTTATTGATGGGGTTCTTGGAATTTGGAGTGCGGGGTCCTTGGGTTCACCCTGGGAAAGGTTTCACCAGAGCTCCCGTTTCAGTGGCATGTGGCAAGTTTCCCAGGCGAGTTTCTCCACAAGACAAAAACATTAGTTATATTTAAAGAGCAGGTTTATAGAAAAAGGAGACACTTGCACAGACACCAGCAGGCAGGAAGAGCTACCCCGAAAGGGACAGGTTTGCTGAGAGGCCTGCATGGTTGCAGACAGGGGGCCTTGAGGAGAGCGGCCTCCGCTGAGGGAGGTCAGTGAGGAGAAGTCCCAGCAGGTACAGGTCACAGGCAGGGAGGAAGCTGCTGCCCTACAGAGGGAGAGAGTTGGTAAAAGTGCTGCACCTCCCCCTGCAGTGACCTTTAGGGCTAACCGTCCCTAGGTCCGGCTGGGCAACCAGCATGCAGGGGGAGAACAGCATAACACCCTGAAGCAGAGGAAGTACAGCGGAAGTTCCCTGAAAAGACAGAAGCTTATCAAAAGATAAGGACCACCAGGAACCACTACAAGAAAGCTAAAAATCTTATCCCATCTTTCTAGAACTACAAACTTTAATCCCTTATTGTCTTTCTAAACTTCCTTCTTTCTTCTATAAAAGTCATTGCTTGTTATGTAGATCACAGCCCTGATGGTGATAGGCTGAGCCCATGAGCAAGCTGATTTCATTGATATTCATTGTTCCTGTGCTTTTGGAAAACATATATATACTGGTAACAAACTCAAAGAAAATTACACTCAGATTTTCACTCTTGAAGTGTGTCTGTTTGTCATTTCTTTCACCGACGCCCTGACCACCCTGCACACTTCTCTCAACCCTGAGGTGGCCTCATCGTCTACTGCTGTGCTGGTCCGCCGCATAAAAGGAAGCACCTGCATAGTCACAGGTGGGCAGAAAGACTGCTGCCGTGTTGTGGGGGCAGCGTTAGGTTTTATCATCTTCAGGGAGGGGCTCATCTTTGTGGGTGGATGGTTTGTGCTCCTGACACTCCTTAGAGCAGTCTGATAGTTTCTGGGTGTTGTGCCTCCTGATCTGGGCATCGATGCCTAAGGGTCTTGGATTCTACAACTGGGTTAATGGATTCCGTTAATCTCCTCTACCCCTACCTCCTTGTGTGAGTTAGGTTCTTGACCTTGCATCTCTTGTCCTCCATCATTATCACGCCACTAGTGATGGTGATAAATTTTCACTGAATCCTCCTTAATCCTCATATCAATCCTACACATTAAGATCACTTTTATTATCCCCATTTCATAGTAAGCAAAATGAAATTTAGAAGTTTTAGTAATTTGTTCAGTTTATAAGTCACTGGATAAGGATTTGACCCCAACTTGATCTGATTCTAGAGCACAAGTAGTTAATCACTGAAGTTCCTCCATAAATGGATGAATGGCTCAGGGTGAAAATCTGACTAGAGACATACATTTCACTTGAACCCACAGGGCATGGTAGGAACTGAGGCTGGTGAGATGAGGCACATTAACTGTGAATAATCTGATACTGTATCTCAGGTAGAAAAATCAAGACCATTACCCCAGAGAAGCATATTCTTTTTTTTTTTTTAAATAGAGGCATGTTTTATTTATTTATTTGTTTGTTTGTTTGTTTTGTTTATACAAGCACTGGGTACAGTCAGAAGCGCGGGAGGGTGAGAGAATTCACCAGAGCCAGAGCAGGGAGCAGAGCAGGCAGAAGGACTGAAGTACACTGCTGAGGGGAGCAGCGGGCGGCAGGAGAGGTCTGCGCGCCATGTGGGACCCTCCTCTGGTGGCCGGGGAGCAGCCGGGGATCGAACCGGCGCCGCAGAGGCCGCGGGCAGCTTCGCAACCCAGCGCTCAACCGCTGCGCCACCGGGGAGGCCCGAGAAACATATTCTTCAAGACCCAAGCCAGAGAGTTTTGGTCCTGTCAGGAGAGGTCTCCCTCACCCTTGAAGACAAAAAAAGCATAACCGGAGGACTCAATCTTGCTTTATGCAGCAGAAGTAGCTCTTATTCTCCTTCCTTCCACACCCAGCCTATTTAGGGCCCCGCTCCCAAAGAGGACAGCTCAGGGGTGGACACATGCTCCCTGGGGAAACAGTCTCAAGGGCCAGGTGGCGATGGGCAGCAGTGAGGACAGAGAGATGGACACACAGCAGCCCCTGATCCATAAGTTTTCCTGGGAGGATTGGAAACAAGAAGGTGCCTGAGGCACAGGAAGAGGGAAATTCTGAAAATAAGAATGCCCTTGGTGCTGGGCCAGCTCAGGAATGAGGATCTGATCACATTGCTAAAGGGAAGTGAGTTGTTGTAGCTGAAATACCAACAGAGAGAAAGATCCCTTTCCTACTTGGGCACTGACTCAGTTTTCTGCCATTTTCTGAAACGTGGAAGCATGAACTGCCACCAAGCATGCACAGATGGTCAGCACTGCCCAACACCTCCAGCAACCAATCACCAAAAGCTCCTTTGTCTTATTTTATCCATCTTCTTTTCAAAACCCCCTTTAAGTCTTTTCCCTAGAAAGCCAACTGTGGAGACTCAAACCCTTTTGCCTCTGCTAATTGTATTGATAATATACTTTTTTGTTTATTGCAACACTATTTATAATAGCTAAGATATGGAAACAACCTAAATGTCCCCAAACAGATGACTGATAAAGAAGATGCTGTGTGTGTGTGTGTATATATATATATATATATATATATATATATATATATATATGATGGAATACTACTCAGCAATCAAAAAGATAAACTCATGTTATTTGCAGCAATATGGATGGAGCTGGAATAAGTCAGAAGGAAAAAGAAAAATATTGGATGGTTTCACTTATAGGTAGAATATAGGGAAACCAAACAAAGGGAAAAAAGCAAAACTTTCAGGCAAACTATAGTCAGAGGCATACAGCAGGGGAGGGTTAGAAGAGGGGTTGAAACAGGGTGGGAAGAGCACAAGGGACTGTGGTGACATTTCACAGGTGATGTGGTGGTGGGAGAATTATGGAAATTACACCTGAGGGGAGAAATCAAATACTGCATGCAAATGAACAACAATGTAAGGACATTAAAAGTAAATAAAGATTAAAAAAAAATTTTAATAAATTAAATTAAATTTTTTAGAAATTGTACAGTTGAGAAACTCCTGTTTCTCCAACAAAACTTGGGGCTGGTCTATTGGGTGCTACATGCTGTGAAAATCTACCCAAAAGGGCCCTCTGTACACTCTGCAAAGCCTGTCCCTGTCCTCTTGGACCAAGTGACCCTGATCCTGCCCTGAGCTCCCACATGGAGCCTTGTGACCAGCAGCTTCTCCAACAGGGTTGTGGGAAAGTAAAAGTCAATATCCAGAAGTTTCCAGGTTCCCTGATTAGGCAGAACTTAGAATGCATTTTCCTATTAAAAATTGCCAAGTTCTGCTCCCCACTCTGTCTCTGGTGAATCCAATCCTCCCCTCCCCACCACACACACCCTCTGGCCTCCACTCCAGTTCTTGTATGCATAAATAAATAAAAATAAATCTTTTAAAATTTTTTTTCAAAAAATAAAAAATACTGTAGGGTTTTGTGAGTGATATGGAAAACCTAGCCATCATAAAATACAGCTGCCTTGTGGAAACTGCTTCACAATGTGACTGACTTGGGATGAACATCTGGAGGCTGCAGACTGTATCTCTTGCCCTTTCGAGCAGGAGGCAGCAAGCTTTCTGTTGTAGACTTTGCAGGCTGAGGCCACACTCTGTGCTGTTGTAGTGTGAAGGGGGCTGTGGACAGTCTGTAAACATGGCTGTGTGAGCAAACCACACAAGTGGATTGTGAGCTGGATTTTGCCTACAGGCTATAGTTTGCCAACTACACTTGTTCTAAAATGAAGATCTTAAAGGTGGGCTACTGAAGACACTAGGGCCATTCTCCACCTCCACCCGCTTGCAAGAGCCAGTTGTTAGCAAGTCTTCCCAACACCATGTTTTGTGACGCCACGTTGACAGGATTTTTTCATCTTCGTTTTTCTTTATTGAGGTAATATTGATTTATAACACTGGACATGATTTAGATCTACAGATTTAAATTTAAATTTAGATTAAAGGTTCACACCTCCTCAGATGTAAGTCACCACACCACACCCACCATCCGTAACTAGTAGGCTAGTTCCCAATCCTCCCTTCCTCCCCCGCACCCCGGCTGTGTCCAGATTTCGATCACCCTTTACTAGGATGTGGGTCCAGCTGCGATGGGACATATTGACAGGTCTCCCAGATGCCTACTGGATGCGCACCTCCTGCCTGCCACTTGACAGTCTCTGGGGTCTCCCACATTTTGCTCCTTACCTGCCCCTTCTCCACTTACCCCATAGGATGGTGAACTTGCTGCTGCTTTCTTCCCTGGATCCAAGACACAGACTAACCCTTCTCATGCTCTGCCCCAGCACCTGTCCAGCCCCACTGGGAACAGCTCACTCTGGATCAGAGCCCCAGCCAGTTGCTCATTCCTGTGCAAGTTCAGATTCTCAGGCCAAACCCCACAGCACGGCCCACCCTGAGGATGACTGGCGTCCAGGGAAGCAGGCCGCAGACAGAAGCCGCTCTCATCCAATCATGACTTTATTTCACCTAAGAACTCTCTAAGCTCTGACATATAATTCTTCTACCACCTGAAGGCACAGATATTCAAAGCACTAATGAGAAACAGGAGAGGTTAAGGAGCCAGTCCCCTTTCTTCGTGACAAGTATGCGTTCGAGAGGAGAGCACAGAAGGACATTCAGCGGGGTAGTGGCTTATTCGTTGACCTCACTGGGGTTGATTTCAACTTTTGGAACTCCGTGAAATGAAAATTCTATGTGTTTCTTTTTCCCATGACTATTTGTCACTCCAAAGGGTTCACAGGAATTGCAGGAGGTGCAGATGAACCAGCCGGGGTGAGTGGCCCACTCCAGTGTGTTCAGGGAGTCCACCTCAGTTCTATAGAAGATGAAGGGCTGAAGTGCTCGTTCCTTCTGGCCAGACAGGTCTTCAAGATTCTTATTCTAGGAGGTGAAGGGGACAGTGAGATAGGATCACTTCTGAGAGGAAGGAAAGCCAGGCAACGCAGCCACGTGCGTTCCTGGAGCACAGAGCCCAGACCTGGACAGGAAAATGCGACCCAACACTCCAGAAAGAAGGATGCTACTACTGTTCTGTTGCTTAGGAGAAGAATTTGTGGAGAGTGGGAGGCTGTAAGCAGGTAGGTAGACCCCAGAGGTCCACTTTGGGGTGGCTGAACAAAAAGGAAATTGGGCTGGAATGCTCACCTTCAGTTGAAGAGATGGCTGGCTTTGTCCTTTGGCCTTGTCACAACAGAGACAACGTTTTCCTTTAGAGATTGCCAAGAAAACTGGACCTCCTTTCTCCTTACAGGATGAGGACAACTGACACCCTAATAAAAAGAAGGTCTCTAGAAAAAAAAAAAAAGAGTCAGAAAAACAGGTTGGTCCTTATAAAAGGGAAAAGGCCTTCTTGCCTGCTGGGGTTTCAGACAGGCCATATCACCCCCACCTCTTGGCTCTGTGGTCAAAGTCCCCTACTTCACTTTGGTCTAAGCCTCTACTTCTTCCACGGTCTGGCACCATCTTTCTTCCAGTCCTTCCAGAAAGACTTCCCTCAGATCTGGTCACTGCTACAGGAGCTTACGTCCAATTCTTAGTGGTCCCTGGGGCTCCTATGTCCTGCTTCCCACCACCTGCTGGAGCTGGAGTCGGGTACAGCCTCGCTGAGTCCCTCAAAGGAAGGCTTTACCCTGCTGGTGGTGGTGGAGGGGAATAGACAGAAAACACAGCCCAGCCTGGGAGTCACCTGGGAATATGTAGGTTTTATATGGAACAGCTTTGAGGGTCCCAGAGTCCGTCCATGACTATTACTTTGTGATCGTGTCGTGAATGCTGAACTTCGCTGGCAAGCTGCCTTTCACCTGTGGACCTAGATATAACCAGACAGCAGCATTGTGAGAATGGCCACATTGGAGGGTGCCAGCCCCATACCCCCACCCCACCTACGGGCTCGGACATCACAGCCCACTGAATCTCTCTCCCACCCCCAAGCTTTCAGCTTGGGGTAAGCTTTGCTTGCCTGGACAAGCAAATTATCATGTACAACAATCCCCCCTTATTTGCAGAGAATTCATTCCACACTCCAAGTGGATGCCTGAAACTGCAGATAGTAGTGAACCCCATATATACACAGGGGGAGGGGTTGCTATAACACAAGCCTATGATAAAATTTGACTTATACATTAGGCACAGAAATTAGCAACTAATAACAAAATAGAACAATTATACCAATACATAGAATAAATGTGACACATGCAATAAATGCAATATGAATATTCCATCTCCTCTCCTCCCCCTTTCCCCCTCTCTCCCTCCCTGCCCCCCACTGTATACACTATTTTCAGACCACAGATACCTGGAATTAGGGGAAGAGAACCCAAGGGTAATAGGCAAGTACTGTGTGTAAACACAAGGGTCCTCAAATTTGACAGATGGGTTAAAATCCAAGTTTTGTTACTTACTGCTTTAGGACCTAACACAAACCTCAATGTCCTCATCTGTGAAATAGGGGTAATAATAGCACCTAGCCAAAGAGGGTGTGAGAAGAATTAAAATACCTACTCATATGAGTAACACTTAGCCAGGTGTCTGAGCTATAGAAAGGATCTGTACGTGTTAATCATTATTCTCCTTAACACTCCGTCCCCTACCCCCCTACTGGGGCATCACGCCACCAGCAATGCCTGGGGTGGGAACAGATCCACTCACGGTGACACCCACTGAGGGACAGAGGAAGAGCTGGGGATGGTTGAAACCGAGACAAGAAGCACCCAGGAGCCCAGCATCGTGGAAGGCGGAGCTGTCATTGCGGGGGCGCCTTTGACCACCCACAGGGGTTGACCTGGAGGGAGCTCCTTGCACAGGCAGGACCAGCCACAACAACAGTGGCCGGGGGTTCCCCAGGGCATGGCTCCTGGAGATGCACCAGCCTGTCCTGCTCACAGGTGGGTGACATGGGACTTTCCCTGCTGGGGCTCTGCTGGTGCAGATGACACGGCCCTCAGTGAGGAGCCCTGACACGTGTTTGATGGCAGGCAGGAGCCACACGTGGGCCAGTGATGTCATGGATAAGTAGTTGTAAAATGTCCACTATGACAGCACTGTAAGCACGCGCTGCGTGATGCTATAGTAGAATTATCTATGGTGGCAATTACATTGTAGGGATGCACTGCGAGGTCTCATTCTCTTCCCAGTGATAAGCACAGGCAGGGGCCAGTCTCTCAGGCTCCTCCCTGAAGCCCTCTGAGCACCCTGACCATGGGATGGCTTCCTTCGTGGGCTGCTGCAGCCCTCTGCACGCATCCTCAGCACAGGCCTGGTGGCCTGCTCATGTCCTGACAGCTGTAAATGCTCATTTCTAGTATTACCATCCCACAACCCCCGCTTTTTTAAGCCTCTTAATACCCTCTTAAATCTGTCCTTCTTTTTCTTCCATCTGCCTCCTCTCACACCTAACTTGGCCCGCATCATCTTACCTTCATGCTCACTGCTGCAGCACCCTCTAACTAGTGTGCTGCCTCATCAGTCCTGATTTCCTAGAGGCATGAGTGTCATGTACACTTGGTGTTTCTGTAATGGGTAACTGGCCCAGATGAGGTCCTGAGTAGCTACAATGATGTGGGACCAGGTGAGATCCGTGGTTCTCAGCCCAGGCTCATATCAGCCTCTCTTTGGGAGCTTTTCTGGGTCCCACCTCCAGACGACTGGAGTTCATGGGGGTGAACTAAACCTGAGGTGTGTTGGTTCAGAATCATTGAACTAGATTAATTCCAAGTCTTCCAACTTCTCAAACATTGGCCACTCCTGCAGACACTGCCCTGCTAAGAAGCCCCAGCTGCTACCCAGCACTGAGCTGAGGAGTTGCAAATACAGAAATCACCTCCATTTCTCCCATCCATCTCTCGAAGTCTTCTATTATATCTTTCAATAAAGGTAGAAATTCTTCCATAAAGATTTCTTCCTTGCTACCTATAAGGGGTTATTTTAATGTGTAATGATTTTTTTAAACTAATTTTCCAGGGACTCCTATGGTGGCGCAGCGGTTGAGCTCTGCAGTGCCAGTTCGATCCCCGGCTGCTGGCGAGGGTCCCACATGGTGTGACAGACCTCTCCTGCCATGCCTGCTGCTCCCCCAGCAGTGTGTTTCATCAGTCTGCCTGTTTCTGCGCCCCACGCTGGCTCTGGTAAAAGTCTCTCACCGCTCCGCCCGCGCTTCTGATTGAACACATGATTGTATAAATAAATAAATAAATAAATCTTTAAAAAAAAACCAAACTAATTTTTCAATAGCTTTAGCTGATGTCACAATTGATTTTTGTATATTTGAGTGTGTTCCCAGCAAAATCGTCATTTCTTTTTTTTTTTTTTTTTTTTTTTTTTTTATAGAGGCCATGTTTGGTATTTATTTATTTGTTTTTGTTTGTTCGTTTCGTTTTGTTTATACTGCACTGGGTACAGTCAAGAAGCGCGGGAGGGTGAGAGAATTCACCAGAGCCAGAGCGGGGAGCAGAGCAGGCAGAAGGACCGAAGTACACTGCTGAGGGGAGCAGCGGGCGGCAGGAGAGGTCTCGCGGCCATGTGGGACCCTCCTCCGGTGGCCGGGGAGCAGCCGGGGATCGAACCGGCGCCGCAGAGGTCGCCGGCAGCTTTGCAACCCAGCGCTCAACCGCTGCGCCACTGGGGAGGCCCAAAATCGTCATTTCTTGACTTAGCTTTCATTAGTTGGTGTGTAACTGAGTTCTCTCTGTAGATAATTTTGTCCTTAAATAATGAAGGTTTTGTTTTTTTTCCCTTACCAATTCTAAAGTATAGGAGTACTTTTATTTCTAGGGTTTCCTTATAAAGTCTCACCTCAATACCCCCTCAAAATATTTGACAATCCCTACCCAAAACTGATGCACAAGGGGGTGGTGTTTTGTTTGCTTTTCTGTTTATTTAGGAGAGGTTG